AGATTGCTCCACTGTCACAGGGATAAGCCTGTGACACAGGGATACGCCTTTTCTATATGAACTATATTTTGGGTAATCACAAATAGTTGACTAAAAATTTTTTTTTTTTAAAACATTAGTTTAAGGAATAAGGAAAAAAAGTTGTTTTATTAAAATTCCTGGCTGCGTGTGGTGGCTCACACCTGTAATCCCAGCACTTTGGAAGGCTGAAGTGGGAGAATCACTATGAAGTATTGTAATTAAAATTTTGAATTCAAGTCGAGCTCTCATGACCAATTTTCAGGAAATAATGTAGGTAAAGGAGCATGTATCATTCAAATCCTATACATGGGACATCCTGTAGGACAAATGACCTCTCCATGCTCCCCCTACTTAAAAAAATAGACTTTACTTTTTAGAGCAGTTTTAGCTTCACTGCAAAACTGAGCAGAAGGTGCAGAGATTTCCCACATATCCGTGCCACCCCACCTCACATGCACAGTCTCTCCATTATTAATATCCTGCCCCAGAATGGTACATTTGTTACAATTGATTAACCCATGATGATGCTTCATTATCACCCCAAGTCCACGGTTTGCATTAAGATTCACTCTTGGCATTGTACATTCTATGGGTTTGGACAAATGTGTGATAGGTACCCACCATTATGATATTATGCAGAAGGCTGGGCGTGGTGGCTCACGCCTGTAATCCCAGCAGTTTGGGAGGCTGAGGCAGGTGGATAATCTGAGGTCAGGCGTTCGAGACCAGCCTGACCAATATGGTGAAACCCTATCTCTTCTAAAAATACAAAAATTAGCCATGCGTGGTGGTGTATGCCTGTAATCCCAGCTACTCGGGAGGCTGAGGCAGGAAGCTCGCTTGAACCCAGGAGGCGGAGGTTGCAGTGAGCCACGCTCGCACCATTGTGCTCCAGGTACTGGAAAAACTGGGTATGCTATGCAGAACAATGATGAAACTAGATCATGCAAAAAATTCAAATAAAAATGGATTAAATACTTAAATGTAAGACCTGAAACTATGAAACTAGTAGAAGAAAACATTGGGGAAATGCTTCAGGACATTAGTCTGGGCAAAGATTTCTTGGATAAGACCTTAAAAACACAGGCAAACAAAGCAAAAATTAACAAATGGGATGTAAATCAAGCCAAAAGGTTCTGCACAGCAAAGAAAACAATCAGCAAGGTGAAGAGACAACCCACAGAATGGGAGAACATATTTGCAAACTATTCATCCAACAAGGGATTAACAACCAGGAATATATAAAGAACTCAAACAACTCAACAGCAAAGAAACAAATAATCTGATTAAAAATAGGCAAAAGATCTGAATAAACATTTCTCGAAAGAAGCATACAAATGGCCAACAGGCGTAGGAAAAAAACTCAACATTCCTAATCATCAGGGAAATGCCAGTTAAAACCACAGTGAGTTATCATCTCACCCCAGTTAAATAGCAGTGATCAAAAAGACAGAAGATAACAAGCACTGGTGAGGAGACCAAGAAAGGGGAATGCTCATTCACTGTGGGTGGAAATTTAAATGAGTACAGCCTCTATGGAAAACAGAATGCAGATTCTTCAAAGAACTAGAGATAGAACTATCATATGATCCACCAGTGCCTCTGCTGGGTATATATCCAAAAGAAAGGAAATTAGTCGGCCAGTCTGTGGCTCACGCCTGTAATCCCAGGACTTTGGGAGGCTGAAGTGGGTGGATCACCTGAGGTCGAGAGTTCGAGATCAGCCTGACCAACATGGAGAAACCCCGTCTCTACTAAAAATACAAAAAAATTTATAGCCGGGAGTGGTGGTGCATGCCTGTAGTCCCAGCTGCTGCAGAGGCTGAGGCAGGAGAATCGCTTGAACCCGGGAGGTGGAGGTTGCCTTGAGCCGAGATCGTGCCATTGCACTCCAGCCTAGGCAAGAAGAGCAAAACTTCGTCTAAAAAAAAAAGAAAAAAGAAAAAAAAGAAAGGAAATCGGTCTATTGACGAGATATTTGCACTCCCGTTTTTATTGCAGCATATTCGCAGTAGCCAAGCTAGATATACTAATTATCAGATTTGATCATTACACACTGTATACTTGAAATCAAAATATCCCATGTACCCCATAAACGTGTACAACTATTATGTATCCACATACACATTTTTAAGACTGGCTTTTTTCACTTAGTTATATGCATTTAAGGTTCCTCCTTTTCATGGCTTGATAGCTCATTTCTTTCCTTTTTAAATTTTTATTTTCATTTTTATTTTTTGAGACAGGGTCTCATTCTGTTGCCCAGGCTGGAGTGCAATGGTACCATCTTGGTTCACTGCATCCTCTGCCTCCCAGGTTCAAGCCATCCTCCCACCTCAGCCTCCCAAGTAGCTGGGACTACAGGTGCACGCCAGCATGCCTGGCTAATTTTTCTATGTATATATTTTTTGTAGAGATGGGGTTTCACCACGTTGCCCCTGCTGGTCTCAAACTCCTGAGCTTAATGGATCCACCTGACTCAGCCTCCCAAAGTGCTGGGATTACAGGTGTGAGCCACCGTGCCCGGCCAATAGCTCATTTCTTTTTAGTGCTTAATAATAATCCATTGTCTGGATGGACTACAGTTTATCTACTTATTCACTTACTGAAGGGCATCTTAGTTTCTTCCAAGCTTTGACAATTATAAAGCGGCTATAAATAGTCATATGCAGGTTTTCATGTGGATATAAATTTTCAGCTCCTTTGGGTAAATCCAAACAGTGTGACTGATGGGTAATATGGCAAGAGTATGTTTAATTTTGTAACAAACTGCCAAGCTATCTTTTAAAGTGGCTGTGCCATTTTGCATTCCCACCAGCAACGAATGAGAGTTTCTGTTGCTCCATATCCTCACCAGCATTTGGTCTTGTCAGTGTTCTGGATTTTGGCCATTCTAACAGTCCCCATACACTTACTTTATAAATAAATTAATGGCATATAAAGGGGGACTGCTATCTATTAAAAGTATTTATTATTATTACTTTTTGAGATGGAGTTTCGCTCTTGTTGCCCAGGCTGGAGTACAATGGTGCAATCTTGGGTCACTGCAATCTCTGCCTTCTGGGTTGAAGCGATTCTCCTGCCTCAGCCTCCTGAGTAGCTGGGATTACAGGCACCTGTCACCAGGCCTGGCTAATTTTTGTATTTTCAGTAGAGATGGGTTTCACCATGTTGGCCAGGCTGGTCTTGAACTCCTGACCTCAGGTGTTCCACCTGCCTCGGCCTCCCAAAATGCTTGGATTGCAGGTGTGAGCCACTGCACCTGGCCTATTAAAAGTCTTAAGAAACAGCCACCAAAGGCAACACATGCAGATGATCTCGAGATCTTGATCCTGGATCTGAATATATCAACTGTTAAAAGGCATTTTGAGAGAATCAAAGACATTTGAACATGGACTGGATATTAGGTGATATTAAAGTTGGTAATTAAAAAATAAAGTTGGTAATTTTGTTTGGAATAAAAGAGCATTGCCTTATACTATATATATATATTGAATATATATATTAATTACAGCTGTGTGTATATATATATTATATATATGACCCTTGTCTCCTAGAAATGTACAACAAAATATTTACAGTGAAATGGTAAGCTGTATGCCTTAAAATATTATAGCAAATATAAATATATAAAGAATAAAATTTAAAAAAAAGAGTGTTGCCAGGTGCCGTAGCTCATGCCTATACTCCCAGCACTTTGGGAGCTGAGGCAGGTGGATTGCTTGAGGCCAGGAGTTTGAGACCAGCCTGGCCAACATGGCGAAACTCTGTCTCTACTAAAAATACAAAAATAATCTGGGTATGTTGGTGCATGCCTGTAATCCCAGCTACTCAGGAGGCTGAGGCATGAGAATTGCTTGAACCTGGGAGGCAGAGGCCGCAGTGAGCCGGGATTGCACCAGTCCACTCCAGCCTGGGCGACGAAGTGAGACAAAAGAAAAAAAAAGGGGGTGGGTGTATATAAAACAAAGATTTGCAGAACGGTGTGTAATTCTTGATGCTGAATGATGGAGTATGAGGTCCATGACACTATTCATTTTTACTTTTATGTTTGGCCCTTTTTTGTAATAAGTTGAAAACATTTCCATTTTGAAGGTTCTGTCTTTAGTGGTACCCCGAGGGTTCCAAGCAAGGCCGACTTGGGTGGGCCCCACACTGGCCAAGTTGCTCCTGAGCGTCCCCTGCCCACGGCTCCGGCCCTTGTCCTGCTGTCTCCCACCACTACCTCTTGAGGTTGTCTGACCATCAGCTTGAGACTTTGAGGAGCCGTATCGGGGCCTGAAAGTGGAAAGGATGAGAACAGCTTTAGAAACAACAAAATGGGGGTCTCCCTCCCAGCTTTGTCTGCTTTAGTATCATCTGCAGGGAAGGGGCAGGGCCCTGGGTAGGGAGGGAGCCAAAGACTGAAGCAGTGGGGGTGTGTTGAAGGGAAGGGAGGAGGGATTCATAACTAAATAACAGAGAGGAGGGCAGCTTGCACAAGATGCAAGACAGACTGGGATGGAGAGAAGCCCGGGGCGTGAACAGAGGGTCTGCAGAGCAGAACAAGATGTTGGAAAAGGGTCTCCTCTGGCAGTGGGACGTATGCAGTGAGTCAAGTTTAAACAGAGAACAGCCGGCTGCGAGGAGGAGAGAGCTAGGATTTCTGTAGTACCTACCAGCAGTCCAGTCCCATTTGGATCTTCTGGTCAAATGGTGCTGGAGGCTGTGTCCTTCCTGCTGGAACTCCTGCTCCAGACATGGAGGTGGTAGAGATGCTTGCTGCACGTGAGCCATGGGAAAGAGGCCACATTCAGTGGCCCTTTTATTACTCTGTGGCCATTGGCATCATCTCAAGCTGGACAGCAAAATAGCAGGTCACCCAAAACATCTCTGCTTTTAAAATATTATCTAATCTATCTAACCTTTCTTGGCATGTCTTGGACTTAGAACTTTTTCTTTTTTTTTGTTATTCATTCCTTAGTAAAGGTATTCATCAGCCTGACTCAGTTTCCGTTGAAGAATCCACAAGCTTCCCAGTTGGTAACTTCTGCCTGTGGCTGTCAGATCTCATCCCACAGAATCCAAGTGTTAGAATGTTCCATCGGGCAGGGGTGCAAAGGTCCTTTAGCTCCTGCATGTCAGTGACGTGGCACCTGGTCTACCATGTTCCATTCTGAGTCCAAGACAGATGTTGCCCGCGAACCACAGCACCCCCGACCACTGGATGTGGCCCCAGAATCCTGAGCAACACGTGATCCCTTCAGCCATGTGTTCTAGCAACCAGCGTCGGCACTGGATCGGGAATGATTGCTATTCTTGGACAAGTCCAGTCTGTTATCCTGGAGATGGGGAAACTGAGAGCTGGGGTGTATAATTTGCCGAATGGATGCAAGGTAGGTTAGTGAAGTGCTGGGACCCAGGGCTTCTGGCTCTCAGGTAATCCTCTTCCCACTGGCCATAGGCTTGGGGAGCTCCGAGAAGGGAAAGGTGAGAGAATGCCCAATTGCGGTCCCTGCTGCCAGCTTCCGTAGGCCACTTTCAGGGGTCTGCAGGTGCCAGAGCTGAAGTTCTTTCCTCTTTCTCCTTAAGTCCGGCTCCACTTCTGTTGCCAGACCTGCTGTCTCATGGCAGCAGGAAAGCAGTATTGGAAGCTGCCAGACACAGTGTGGGCAGCCCCGGCTGGAGTGGCACCAGGAAGCAGGAGGCAGTGGTGCCGGTTAGTGCTTGACTTGTGCCCAGCTTGGCAGTCCCGCAGCTTCCCCTCCTTGTTCATACCACACCGACCCTCGTAAGTTGGTGTGGCATTGGCCTGTATTAGAGCAAGGAACATGTTCTGGTCAGACTTTGACAGCTGAAACCCAACGTTCTATTTCATCTTTAGGGGATAAGAATCCCCTGAGTTGGGAGGGTCAGACAAGGGTGCATTCGAGGACCTGTTGCCTCTCTGATGCTCAGGAAAGACCTTGGAACTTTGAAGGCCCTGATGAGGGATGAACAACTCATGCTTTCTGGGGGCTTTGCTGTATGGAGACAAAGAATGGATCAAGGAAAACCCACCGAGAAGCCCGGGGAATTACTTGGGTCTCAACTTATCTCAGGTTGAATTCTAGCCACCAGTCCTCCTGGTCAGGTGCTGGTGCCCCATGGCCATCTTCCAAGAAGGAATGCAAGAACCAGACCCTGCCAAAGGAGCAGCCACCTTCAGGGGGCCCCTGTGATCCCACTGGGGGAGATTAGACAGGAGCGTTTACTTTCCTCCTGGCCCTATGGGTGTGCTGGGGGTTCCACCCAGGAGGACAAGCAAACCCCAGAGTTCCTGGTGGTGGCAGTGGCACCCACTGTGCCTCTTGGAGCTGGAGCTGCTGATGATAACCAGCTTATCTACGTGGCCCTGGGCCCAGAGCAAACTCAGTTCTATTGACACCTCTTATTTTCCCGCCTCGGTTTGCACGTAGCCCCAGGGCTTGCTGTTCTGGGAAAGGGGTTGATAACTCATTGCTGGTAACTTGCTCCGAGTCAACAAATCAAGTGCGTGATGAGGTCATGGTGTGTAACTTGTGGCCTCAATGGCCTGGTTGACGATGGTGTGTTCGGGCGTGGACGGAAGACTGGAGATGGAAAAGTGGGCCTTTGCTATTGCTCTTCCCCCTGTCTAGAAGGTTCTTCTCCCAGCTCTTTGGCTGGCTCCTCCTCAATATTCAGCCGCCATCTCAATGTTCCTTCCTCAGTGAAGCCTTCCGTGGTCACTCTGGTCTCCCAGCAGTGAAGCCTGACTCGGAGGAGCCCTGGAGACACCTGTTGAATGCCTTTTCCCACGTGTTCTTTGTGGGTGCCCTGTGAGGCTGATAGTGTCTCCAATTTACAGATGAGGAAACTGAGGCTTAGTGGAGCTAAGTAAATTCCTCAAGGATTTATGGCAAGTAAGTGGTAGAGTCAAGATTTGAACTAGGTCTGTCTGACTACAAATTCTAGGCTCTTGGCCACTCTGCGGCTCATTAGTACTGGGCTTGGGAGATCAGGAAATGAGGCAGAACAAAAGGAGGAGAGGATGGGTGGGAGGAGGAGGGAATAACTGAGGACAGGTCTCATCTATTAGGAAATATTGATTCTTTCAGTGAACACTTGAGGGTGCTCGAAGCCAAGTTCATAAATTGCTCACTATTTGTGAATAGCCTTGCAGACAGGGCCATGGAGGACAGTGTACAAATTGTGCCCAGAACACAGGTGTCAGGCCATGGGGAAGGAGGCCTGAAGTCAAGTCATGATTCACTGCTGAGCCATGCACCTGGGCAGCTGCAGCCACCTGGAGGAGGCCAGCTTTTTCTGAATCTAACAAAGGCTCTAAGTGGGCTAGCAGTGGCCCTGAAGTCCAGGAAACAAAACATTTAGAAAGGCAATGTGGCAGCACTGCAATGGAGGCATGCCCCGGGCATCCTGCAAAGAGGATGCCCAATGCTGCCTTAGGTGGAAATTTAGGAAGGCTCCCTAGTGGAGGTGGCAACTGAGCCGAGTCTCAGTGGATGAGAGAACTTAGCCAAGTGGGCATGGGGAGGAGGGAACACCAAAGAGGGCAGCACTGGCATGATAATAGACCTAAGGGATTATAAGTCACCTGGTAAGGTTAGATGGCAAGGGTCATGGGCCCAACTGATGCATGGTATTAGTCAGCATGGGCAGTATATGCTGCAGTAACAAGCAACACCCAATTTCACAATAACAAGGTTTCTCTTTTGCTTTCCCTATTTGTCCATTACAGGTCATCTAGGGCTCTGGTTTGAGACGTCTTCACTCAGGGATGCAGACCGATGGAGACTTCACCATCTATGGTGTCACTGGTGGCTACAGCAGGGCAAGAGGCACATGCCAATTCATGCACCCGCCATGCCAGGAGTGCCTGCAGGAGTGAAATGGGTCACTACTATTTGCATTTCATCGCCCCAAGCAACGCTGAATTTCAAGGGACTATGGAAGTATAATTCAACACGGTTTTAGAATGAGGACTAGGAAAATCTGAAGAACAGTGCTAATGATATACGGCTTAACATGGGGAAGGAGAGCAAGGACCACATCACGGTAGGCTTTGAGTGCCATGGTCAGGCACTTGGAATGCTTCCTGTAGGCAATGAGGAGCTTTGGGTGGGTGGATGAGGTATGAGCCTGCAAAGAAGGCAGCAGAAGAGAGGAAAGTGAGGTTTAAACATGAGAAGGGTGCCAGAGCCAAGGGAAGAAGAAGGAAATACGAAACATCAAACAGAGAGGGAAGCCGGAGAAATGGGCTGGGGAAGCACTGGACAGTGAGTGGAAGTCAGGCCCTCCTGCCTCCAACCCTCCCTTTCACTGGAAAGAGAGAGACTGGAGAGAAAGGGATGGAGGGAGGAGGTGGGGAAGACAGAGCCCAGACAGACATTTTGAGGGGTTGCTTAGACTGGAAAAATCAAGACTTCAGTGGAGCTTGGGGACCAACCACAAATATCTAAAAGCTTTTCGCGAAAACAAGGGACTAGACTTATTTGATGGCAAATGTTCAGAGTAGCATAGGGACAAAACCTGGGAATTATAGGGAGGCAGATTTAACTTTTATTTGATAACAACTTCTGTTATCAACTTAAGCTTGTTGTTTGAACTATGTACAAGCACCTTGCTGGGGTGAAGAGGCGTGTAATGTTTTGAAATGTTAATTTCCTTCCTGTTCTCGTGGCTGAAGGAAAGAATGAATGAATATTTAATACTGCAGGCTAGGACTGTTCTTTGAGAGTGGGAGGTGACAGTTAATGGCTTCGTGGTATTCTAGGGCTGTACCGAAGAAAACTCCCACCCAAGCCAGTGTTTAGAAGATGAAGTTAAATGAGAATGGGGAGGTAAATAGAGAGGTAAGTGCCATGTTAGAAAGGAAGAGGAAAAAGCTGGTTGTGGTGGCACACACCTGTAGTCCCAGCTACTTGGGAGGCTGAGGTGGGAGGATTACTTGGGTCCAGGAATTGGAGGCTGCAGTGAGCTGTGATCGCACCATTGCACTCCAGCCTGGAAGACAGAGTGTGACTCCATATCTAAGAAAAGAAAACCAAAAATCCCCCCAAAAATGAAAGGAGGAGGAGGCCTTCTCTGGGGGAAAGAGGGGTGATGACTTCCTTACACAGCTGAGGCTGGTTATGCTACCAATTCTGGGCCACAGAAAGGGGCAGAACTTATGATCCTAGGTAGGTAGATGCCAGAGTCTCATTTCTGAGCATGTGTCTTTGGGAGGAGCTGGCAGGATACCCTAGGAATGGTCCTTGCCCTGGCTTGGGCCCTTGGAGTGGCACTCTGTGACCTGCCCAGTGACAGAAGGCATTGCCATATCACCCTGTGGCAGAGGAAGCTGTGGCTAAGAGGGTGATCACCATGGTGTCTAAACTCAGTCCCCATTCCCCCTAGTTTTCCTTTTCTTTCTTTTCTTTTTTTTCTTTTTTTTGAGATGGAGTCTCGCTCTGTTGCCTAGGCTGGAGAGCAGTGGCACAATCTTGGCTCACTGCAACCTCCGCCTCTCGGTTCAAGCAATTCCCCTGCCTTAGCCCCCTGAGTAGCTGGGACTCCAAGTGCTCGCTGGCATGCCTGGCTAACTTTGGTATTTTTAGTAGAGACAGGGTTTCGCCATGTTGGCCAGGCTGGTCTTGAACTCCTGACCTCAAGTGATCCACCACCTTAGCCTCCCAAAGTGCTGGGATTATGGCATAAGCCACTGAGCCCTGCCTCCCCCTCGTTTTTCTGACACCGTGGTAGTCTGGAAATCTCACAGGATTCTATGGAGTGGGAGGAAGGAATGAATGTGCTGCTTTGGGAGCCTCCAGGCCTGCACGAGGATCGAGCAGAGGCTGTTTGACCTCTGGCTGGTCCGAGGGCTGTTCTGGGATGCTGCCCAGAAGAGAGGCTGCCTTTCATTCTAATGTCCAGCTGATCTCAGGGGTTGGGGGGATTTCTTTGACTCCCTGTGGCCTTATCTGCTGATACCATGTCATTTCCAAAAACTTGAGAACCTTCGCAACGTTCCTGGGCAGGTCCTTGTCCAGAGACCAATACGGATCCAGGTGTAGGGAGCTGCAGTGGCGGCCAAAGTTCAGAGTTCCTAGGGGCTCAACCTAATGGGATGGAGCCTGCTGGTCTTGGCCGAAAGCTTTATAATAATCACACCACTCCTGAATCTTGCTCTTAAAAAAATTTGTGTTGGGGGGCAGGGATTTAAATGCCATGGGTGCCACTGGGGTGAATGCATTCTTCCTCCAGTTGCTGGCTTCTCCACAGCTCACCAGAAATATCTTTTCCTACTGGGTGCAGTGGGGCACGCCTGTAATCCTAGCTACTGGGGAGGCTGAGGCAGGAGGCTCACCTGATGCCAGGAGTTTGAGACCAGCATGGGCAACATAGCAAAATTTCATCTCTAAAAACAAAAATCAGGCCGGGCGCGGTGGCTCAAGCCTGTAATTGCAGCACTTTGGGAGGCCGAGACAGGCGGATCACGAGGTCAGGAGATCGAGACCATCCTGGCTAACACGGTGAAACCCCATCTGTACTGAAAAAAAATACAAAAAAAAAAAAAAAAAACTAGCTGGGCGAGGTGGTGGGCGCCTGTAGTCCCAGCTACTTGGGAGGCTGAGGCAGGAGAATCACTTGAACCTGGGAGGTGGAGGCTGCAGTGAGCCGAGATTGAGCCACTGCACTACAGCCTGGTGACTGAGCAAGACTGTGTCTCAAAACAAAACAAAACAAAACAAAATTTTATTTATCTTTCATATAATAGTCCAGGTGGCTCTCCAGTGGTTGAAACCCAAATTCCTTCTTGTTGCCTTGCCTTCCTCAACATGTGGTATTCGTCTCTTGGTCCATTATGGCTGCTTCAGCTCACGTCATTACATCTGCATTCCAGCCAGTGGGAAATAGAGAAAGGGAAGTGGGATACGCCCCTTTCCTTATAGGAAAGGCATAGTCCAGAAGTTGCAAAGATTACTTCTGCTCATATGTCACTGGCCATAATGAAGTTAACAGGGGCACTGCTAGGTGAAAGAGAGACTGGGAAATGTAGTCTTTAGCTGGGTGGCCACAGACTAGGGTGATAGTTGGAGTTGGATTACTGGAGGAAGTAGATGATGAGCAGTTCCTGTTATACCCTCCTGCTTCAATGAAGATAAGCCGGTTTCCATCCTCCAGATCTCAGAGGATCAACACAACTAAGACTGATTTCTCACTCACAGCCGACCTGGGTTGGCAGAGAGCTCTGCTCCTCGTAGCCACGCAGGGACTCAGGCTGAAGGACGCTCTGTCCTGATGCAGGGGAAGGGGATGGGTGAGAAATGGGACTCTGGTTCCTAAAGACTTCCGCCTGGAAGTGACACACATCACCACCTCTGCTCACATTCCATTGGTCAAAGTATATTCCACCGCCATGGCAAGCGGGGTTGGGTGGCGGGAGGGATGAGGGCGGGAGGGGGATGGTGGTTTGGAAGAGGGAGAGGAACTGCTGCTGTGGTTATGAAGAGCAACAATGGCCACACCCTTCACCAATGTGCTCATGCCTCACTCACCTTTGGTTCTCTCCACTCCCGCCCTGAGCCTCTTTTGGCCAACATACACAGATTGGATAAGATTATACAGGAGGACGTGTACTAGGCTGTCAATCAGCAGGAGAGCCAACCAAACAACCAAAGAAGAAAAAGAAAATAAAACATCCCCAAACTATGCTTAACCATGTTTATAATCACAATTTGCATTTATGCAAGATTATGTATATGTGCATTTTTCTTTTTTTTTTTTTTTTTAGACGGAGTCTTGCTCTGTTGCTGAGGTTGCAGTGCAGTGGCTCGATCTCAGCTCACTGCAACCTCCGCCTCCCGAGTTCAAGCAATTCTCGTGCCTCAGCCTCTGGAGTAGCTGGGATTACAGGTGCCCGCCACCATGCCCAGGTACTTTTTGTATTTTTAGTTGAGATGCGGGTTTCACCATGTCAGCCAGGCTGGCCTCAAACTCCTGACCTCAGGTAATCCACTCGCCCTGGCCTCCCAAAGTGTTGGGATTACAGGCGTGAGCCTGTAATAGTCTGTGTTTTATTTATTTATTTATTTATTTGTTTATTTATTTATTTATTTATTTATTTTTATGGCAGCCTGAGCAGACTAAGACACACTGTAACTGTGTAGTAGTATCAGGTTTAAGTTTAGGTGTATATTATAGAAAACCTGAAATAACCACAACTTTAAAAAGATAAAACTTATTTTTTCCCCCTTAAATAAAGCTGGAGATAGGCTGTTCAGAGTTTGAATCGTTTCCATTTCCAAAGTCACCTCATAGTCCAATATGGCTGCAGGAGTTCCAGCCAGCACATCTGACATCTAGTGAGTAGTTAGAAGAAGGCGGGGGAAGGCAAAAAGACTCACGTCCCAGCTGAATCAGCTCCTTTAAAGCAGCCTTCCAGGAAATCCCCCTCAACACTCCTGCTTATATCAGAGTCACCTAGTCACAACTAACAGCAAAGGCAGTTGGGAAATGCAGTCTTTTAGCTGACTGGGCACATTGCAATCCTGAATGAAATGTACTGTTTTTAAGGAAAAACAGAGAACGGATAATTTTGTAGGCAGCTGCCAGGCCCTACCTCAGAGGCATAATCCATTGTCTGAGTTGTGCAGGCTGAACGGCTCAGCACAGCACGGGAGCCACAAGGAGGAAGTAGAAGAGAGAAACCAGCCAGACAGATCTGACTCCCAACTCTAGAAATAAAAAGATAAAGTAACTCTTCACTGGTGGTCTTCTGAAGACCAAATTAGAGATTCTACATGCCACAAATCAAAACTTCCTTTAAAAACTGCTCTTCCAGCCGGGCACAGTGGCTCACACCTGTAATCCTAGCACAGTGGCTCACACCTGTAATCCTAGCGGGTGGATCACGAGGTCAGGAGATCGAGACCATCCTGGCTAACACGGTGACACCCTGTCTACTAAAAATACAAAAATTAGCCAGGTATGGTGGCAGGTGCCTGCAGTCCCAGCACTTGGGAGGCTGAGGCAGGAGAATCGCTTCAACCCAGCAGGCGGAGGTTGCAGTGAGCCGAGATCGTGCCACTGTACTCCAGCCCGGGCGACAGCGAGACTCGTCTCAAAAAACAAACAAACAAACCCCAAAACAACAACAAAACTGCTCTTCCAACCCAGTTCCCAAATCTCTCGCAATACCTCAGCTTCTCAAATGTCTCGTTACCTCGAACTCTTAACTTCCTTGTCTTGTCTTCCTTGTTTATGTCACTTGTCCGTCCATTCAACCAGTATGACAAGGTCCAGGGCTGAGCAGCTGAGCAAACAGGCAAGCAAACAAGCAAAACCAAACTCCCCTTTTTAGAAGGGGGTAGAGAGGCAATGAAATATATACTGCAATGTACTGTCATATTTTTTCGTTCCTGATCAGGGTCATTTGAAGGACTGAGGCATCTTGGGCTAGAGATACCTTGTTTTCTCTCCAATCTCAACCAAAAACGTGACTTCCTTGAGGCTGGAGAGGGTATCTGTTCATCTGTGTATCCGCAGGTCTTAGCAGTGTGGGTATTCAGTGAATGCATGTGGAATGAACAAAGGAATTAAGTGAATGTGAGAAACAGAGTAAGGCACCGCCTTCTCTAACTGGGGTTGTTTGTGTTTATAACTTTTTTAAATTTTTCATTTATCAGGGCCACGCCAGATATGAATGAAATTGGGTGTAACTGAGGTACAGAATG